TCAAAATCTTCGATATCCTTAGTAGCTCTTGCCTGTCAGAAAAAAGTTCCATGTTTCTGCAGACTTACTGGCCTAAATGTTACACCATTAGTGACAGAATTAATATGTCAAGTGTCATGCTCCACCCTTTGTTATTGATTAATACTGAAGAACCGGTGCATTTTGAGGAAGAGCACATTGTTCTAAGTGCCACTAAAAATGACAAACCCACTCCAGGTGAACCTGATTGCACACTTAGACAAGATACTCCTGGCATGACTAATTTGCACCTAGATGCTGCAAGTAATTGCCTGGTTGTCGCAGAGACTACACAGTTGGTCAAATTTGTAGAACAATATTTAATCTGCCCGGAGACCAATTGTGAAGTTAAAATGAAAGTAAATTCGATTAAACTCGCTGGTCTGGGGGGAGCAGCGTTTCTATGTTTGCTGTACTAACTGTAGAAGCCACAAAGTCAAATTTGAAACCTCAACTCTCAGAGAGAATGGTGATGCTGTTTCTAAGACTTTACAGGTAGGTACCATTTGTTCTGGAACATCTTATGCCTTGTAGAAGAAAATGTTTTACCACATCCTAGGAATGCATACAGTCAGCGACGATGATTTTTCTGACACTTATGGAAATGTATGAACATGTTAATGACATTTTAAATGGCATTTGCTTGGAAGCCAGAAAGGAAATGCAAGATATGGGTCAGAAGAAATTAGGGAGCTGGAAGATGGCTGTTACCTGTGGCAATGCTGTTTGGCTGACCAGACACAGTTTCAGCCGAAACTGCACATACATTGTCAGAAATTTTTTGACAGGTGCTCCTTTGTACTATTATTACACCTTTTGAAAGAGAAGTAACGATTTGTGTAATAAAGAATTATATGAAAGTACTTCAAAAGCAGCAGGTTTCGGTGCTAACGAGGTATTCAAGCTCATGGTCATGGGTCAAATGAATGTGGAATGCCACATTCAAGATGGCAGTAGCACAGCTGGGAATGTTGTCTTGGAACATTTCCCACTTTGTCGGGTATTGTGATTTGGCAATTATGTTGCCAATAATCATGCTGTAGTTACAAATGCTGGTTAGGATTTTGATGCTTTCTCTGAGAGATTAATGAACTTGGCATTGCACCACTTTCAGAATGAACACCAATGCGATGGTGAGCAGTGTGGTTTTCACCCATTTAGTAGTGTGTAGCTGTGGTTCTTGTGAATATATATATATACAGAATAAAATGCCAAGCAAAGTTTTACAAAGCTGACCACGTTTCGAAGTGTCCTTTTCATACCCTAGTTACAAGTTTAAGTGTCAAGAAAAGGCAGGTCTGGCTGATGTATTGATGCATTCTGTAATGTGTAAAGTCTTCTTGAGGCTTCACATAATGTGCGTGTTAGGTTTAGGTCAAAAAATTGGAACTTTGCACATCTTCAGTACCATGTTTCTACCTAACAGGGCTCATTCAAGATTGCATGACCTATCTTTTTACAAAGTGTGGTCCTCAGTACCACTGGATTCTTGACATCATGTGCCTTCATGTTGTTCAGACTCTTCCATCCATCTTGGAAAAGCTGATTGCAGGTACACTCTTTGATACGCAAAGCAAGAACACCAATGCTGCTAAAGCAAAGACGAAGCTGTGTAAGAGAAGTGTAAAGTCTTTGAAAATCAATGCAGGCATTTGTTTGTAAAAAAGAGTGCTATGAATCATGATTATGGAGGGGATGCATCTACCAAAGAAGTCATTGCAGATGCTTCTACTGACAAATTCAATTGTTGCTCAACAGACAACAGAAGGACGTCCCACAAAAGTTGTACACTGAGGAGAACCTGTGTTACTGCTACTCGATTTCATGCCTACAACAATGCATCCAAAAGTCACAATAATGTATCTAAAAATCACTGACTTTGAAACTTCGCTAAGTGACAAAATAGTTTTTGAATTGTGTGCGTGTCCCACTTTTCCCGTCACAAATGGAATTGCCCTAATAATATGTTGTTTTAGTAAAGTAATTAGTTATAGCTTTAGTATTATTTTTGGTGAAGTGCAAAAATAAAATTTAATTTCAGTTTCAGAATTGGAATTTCTCTGGTTTTAAATTAGTTTTGGTTTTTGTAATGCATCTTTTAGTTCAGTTTTGGTTAAAGACCTATTTCTTTTTTAGTTATAGTTTAGTTTAAGTTAATACAGATCATTTTTCTTTCAATTTTAGTTTAATTTCAGTTTCCTCTAGCTCAAATTAACTTAGTTTAGTTATAGTTTTTAAGAAAAATTTTAGTTTTAGTTTTAGTAATTAAGAATATTAATGTCAAACAATGCTAGTTGCAAGTATTTTTTGTTCTGTCTCAGTATCATTTATTCTAAGTTACTGTCAGTTAGGCGATTCCTTTTTCCCTGACTTGAGTTGCCACCAGTAGAAACAATTCTTTGAACTGGAGTTGTAGTTGCTGGAGTCAACAGTATATCAAAGGCAGTCATTGACAAAATTGGATAATCTGATTTTGTAGCCAAAATGTAAATGGATCATCATCAATTGAGTTAGTGTCAATCTCAGCTTCGTCATATTGTTTTATTTCTAATTCTTCCGGTTTGAGCACCACTGTGAAGCACCTTCCATGACTTATCTTCTCTTTTCTGCTAAAAGCTCTTGGAAATGTCTGAATTTTGTTGAAGGTGGCCCACTTTCATGATCTGTAGATGACAAAGAGATCTCAAATGATGCTTGTTCTTCTTTTGCTGGCTGAATTATCTGCAATTCTTGAGTTGATAAGGTGGAATTAATTTATGAATTTAAGTGTTCTTTTGCAGCTAATTTTTGACCCTGATCAAGGTATCATTGTATTCTAGGTTTAAAAAGGTATGAATAGCAAATATCGGGTCAGAGTTGCTCTGTTGTTGGTTGGTTATGTAATTAAATCGCTCCTTCAATTTTGCATGCATTATTGTACCAATGGTGTTCAGCTCATTGATACTCTTTGACCACTTTAAATGCATATTCAATTCCATTAAAGCAAGAATTACCATTGATATTGATGTTACCTCTTCAGAACCCATTAGCTGTGTGTATTGTACAAATGGCTTTAATAATTTATTGGTGTTTTCTATCTGCTTCCAATAGCTAGTCAGTACAGAAGGTCATTTAAGATGATAGCTAATTCATCTTTAACTTGAAGCAGCCTATTAAGCAGAAGGTAGGTGGAACTCCAACGAGTTGAGCAATCGGCAATTAATTTTCTTCCTGCCTTTGCAATAAGCATTGCAGTTGCTTTGTGTGATTTGTTGACTTTGGAAACCAGTTTGTGGACTTTTTAAGAGTGCCTTTCTGGGTTTGAGTTTGTTAAACTCATTTACGAGTTGAAGTGTATGACAAAAACAACTTGTTCGTCGAAAAAACACAAAAGCCACTCTATGGCTTTGCTCACGTTCTTGAAAGTTGTCTAACTCATCTTGTAGTCGTGAGATATCAACGGCATCCTCATCTTGATCATCTACATCACTTTCATTTTCATCCATATCACAAATAAGTTTCACTTCTTCATCATCATTATGCTGTTGCCTAAAGGCAGCTAACATATTACTTCCGTTGTCTGTTAAAATTCTATGTACCATTGTTTCTGGTATCTTCCATGCTGCCAAAACAGCATTATGTAAACTAGCCACTTTCACTGCCGTGTGGTGAAGTGAGTAGCATGCTAGAATTATGTTGTGTCTTTTGTTGTCTTTTGTCGAAAAGAGGTGCTGTCATTCCTAGGAATGATGCGCTCATTCCCTTTGTCCAAATATCAGTGCATATATTCACAAATCAAGCACTATGAAGGTAAGTGGTAAGTCGAAATTTGTTTCTTCAATTTGTCACATGTATTTGTTATCTCCTTATGATCTTGCTGCGACTTGGTAGTTCATAGCAGCTATCTAGTGTTTGAGTGAATAACTAAAAGCTATCATCTTTAACGATACAGATAGGTGCATTAGTCAATCCAATGAAAACAGCCAATTTTTGTGATAGAGCAATATCTGTCAGATTCACAGCTGTATTTCCTTCCTCCCATTGTATCATAAAGAGTCATTTGTGCTGACAGTACTCCACCAGTCAATGTGGTGCTACTAGATAACTTCCTTTGTGCTTTACAAGACTCAGCTATTTTCTTCTCACTTTCCATTTTTGATAGCTCTTGATACTCTCGGTGATGAACCTTTTTAAGTGAGTCTTCAAATTTGTTGGAAACTTTCCTTTAAAAGAATGTCCACACAGCTGAGAAGAGTCTGTTAGCTACTAAACAAATACTCTTGTTTACTTTTAAATATCTAAAAAAAGTTCGAAACGTAGCTTTCACTTGGCCTTCCTCTAGATTTAGTTGGAGTGGTAGCCAGTAGCAGATCTGGGGGTGGGCAAAGCAGGGCATTTGCCCTACAATCAAAAGGGCTCACTAATTATATTCATTGTTAGATAATTATAATCATAATTTAGATAATGATATTCATTATTAATTATAGTTTGTTTGCAGATAGTGAACCACAGTACATGCCCATATTTACCCAAAGCTAGCTCTGACAAACGGTGACAATTAACCACAAATCCACAAGCAGCTGCCAGCTCAGCTCAGCTCAGCTGCTATATTTAAATTAATGAGCAGGCATCAGCATTGCACTTTCAGCGGCCATCTTTCAGTTAGAAATGTGTAAGCAGAAGCAGTTATCTTTGTTGCAGTACTTTCCTAATCCCAAAAGTTCCAACAATAGTAATGCAGAACCAGATCAGACATCATCTGCAGCAACAAGTTCAGAGTCTGAGGAGATTTAAGAGAGAGACTCTACTGAACAGTCAGTGAAGCCAGCCTCACTACCACTACAACCACTGGAGCAATACAGACAGATGGAGGATTGGCTTCTGATATAGCACTGACATCATCATCTCCTCTAGTCCAACCTAGCAATATTAAGTTCCCTGAGACAGTTTCTTCTGGCATAAAGCAATCATTTAATCCTGCTTGGTTTCAAAAATATCCATGGATGGAGTACTCTGTAACCAAAAATGCCATTTTCTGTTTTCCCTGTTCTTTCTTTGGAGCAGCTAGCATTGGAACTTGTAGACCAGAGAAATTATTCACTACTAAAGGTTTCAGTGATTGGAAACATGCTACAGGGTCCACTGGAGTCTTGTTCAAGCATCACAACTCAAGCTCTCACCAACAAGCAACTGTTGCGTGGAAGCAGTTTCAGCAAACATCACTGACTGGGTTTGTCACTGAACAGCTTGGAAGTAACAGAGAGAGAATGTTAGTAAGGAATCGTCATTATGTAAGAGCTGTGTCAGAAGTGTTACTTACGTGTTGTAGCCTTACGTGGTCATAGGGAGAATGCAGATTCCACTAATAGAGGTAATTTCCTGGAAATTCTCTCTCTCCTATCAAAGTATGATGATATAGTTCGTGTTCGACTTGAGAAGGGTCCTCGTAATGCCATTAACACATCACATAGCATTCAGAATACGATCATCAACCGAATGGCTACTATAGTGAGAAATAAAATTTGTGACTGCATCCAACAAGCTGGATATTTCTCTATCTTAGTAGACGAGACCAAAAACATAAGCAAAAATGAGCAGATGTCTATTTCAATTCGCTACTTAGATCAAGACAGCCATTCCATTAAAGAGTGCTTCCTCACTTTTGTTATAGCTTCAAATCTCACAGCTGAATATCTATCAAAGTACATTCTTGATACACTTTCATTGTATAATCTTGATGCTAAGTTACTTGTTTCTCAAGGATATGATGGAGCATCTGTTATGAGCGGTTGTGTCTCAGAAGTACAAAAACGTATCAGAGATGTAGCTCCTCAGGCTATTTATGTCCACTGCCATGCTCATTGTCTCAATTTGGTACTAGTTGACTGTGTCAAAAGTAACTCCCATTGTTCTGATTTCTTCTCCCTTCAATCACTTTATAACTTCATGTCAACCAGCAAATCTCATGTTGTTTTTATGGAGAAGCAGAAGGAACTTTATCCAGATAAGCAGCCAACGCAGTTACAAAGTCTGTCTGAAACACGGTGGGCATGCAGGTACTTGTCACTAGAAGCTATTGTCAGTACATTTGATGCTGTACTAGCAACACTGGAGAGTATAGGAGAAGGAAGTGACAAACAGAAAGCAGTTGAAGCTGTTGGCCTCTTCCATCTTGTCACCAGCTTTAAGTTTCTTTCATGTCTTATAATATTTTGAGAATAACAAAGTCACTGTCTGATCAAATGCAGAGCTCTCAACTAGATTACATCAGTGCTGCTCAACTCATAGCATCAACAACTGAAACTCTAAAGGAAATCAGAACTGATGAATGTTGGGATCAAACATACAAATACATACTAGAAGTGGCAGCATTGCATGGTATCGAAGTTGAGGACAGAAGATGAAAAAGAAGACAGGCTAGGCCTCTGGCATTGCAAGAAGATTACATTGCATATGAGTCTTCAGGTTATCATGATCACATCAATAATTCTGATTTCCTCAAGATTAGCATATATTATCCAGTAATGGATCATATGCTGTCAGAAATAGATAGGTTTCCTCAAACTAATATAGACATTATGAAGTCGTTAGAAGCATGTAATGCAACATCTACTCACTTCCTTGATTTGTCTCTTCTAAAGTTCATTTATGGCATAAGCCAGGATCTTCTTGATAGCGAGTGTGTGCTTACCAAAAGGACTTTTTCTGACTCCTCTGATTAACCAGAGACCGTTGTCGATGTTTATAGTCGAATCCAACCTCTTCAAATGGCCTTCCCTACTCTGACACAAATATTTCGTATGGCTTTGACACTAGCAGTTAGCACAGCACAATGTGAAAGGTCCTTTTCTGCTTTAAAGAGAATTAAGAATTATCTGAGAAGTACTATGTCTGAACAAAGACTCACTGACATCTCACTACTGTCCATTGAAAAGGAGCTTAGTAGTGATATCTCCTTCGAAGATGTAATTGATAAATTTGAAGGCGGAGATAAGAACAGATCTATAATACTGTCTTAATTGATTTAAACATGATTAATTAAAATTAATTACCTTCTAGTAACTATTAATAACACACGCCTACTCATGAATATTAATTTTTGCCCTACCAACATTCTGACCCCAGATCCGCCACTGGTGGTAGCCATACTAATCCTCTGAACCATGTGACTAGTTTCAACAAACTGCAGCTGTCAAAAACCACAAAAACAAATTTCAGCTGCTTGGCATAGTTTTAGTTTTAGTATTAGTTTTACATTAAACCTAAAAATTTATTTAGTTTTAGTTTAGGTTTGGTTTTTTGCTTGTTTTAACTTTCAGTTTAATTTTAGTTAGAGTTTGAAACTGCAAGTAGTTTTAGTTTTAGTTTTAGTTTTAGGTTTAGTTTACTAAAAGTGAAGTAGCTTACTAGAATTACTTTTAGTTTTAGTTATGGTTAACCAAAACAACACTACCAATAATGTAAGAAATAGGAAAAGGGCTATTGACAGCTTTTTACCCCTGCAGGTGCCTTGTTGACACAACTACTTTAAAAAATGGGTATGTATTTACAGAAATCCCTTCTCCATTAGCTCTATCAAAATTATCAACCAAAGTACCCCTGCTTTTGAAGGTGTCATTGTTTCATGCAATGCATCAACTGCTAAAAAAGTAGGCTCTCCTACTGTATTCATTCCATCTTTTATCCTCTGTTAAAAGTTGGAGCTATCTGTATTAAAATGCTGTTCGCCATCCCATACTCCTATTCTTCTACAAATTTCACGGCAAAGTACTCCTGTGGTGCACATATCACGCACTGTATCAACTGTTCAAAAAGTACTCTCTCACTCTATATGTACTCTAACTTTCTATCCACAATGTGCCTGTGGTACATGTATTAAGTGCCCTTCACTGTCGATGACCCCAGGCCCATTAAAATTGAATAAGCAAAGTTCCCATTTAGCAGTGGCGGAAAAAGCAGGTTCTTTTGTATGCACTCCAATTTTGTTGCAGAATATAAAGTGGGATTCCTCTGTACCAATGTGCTTCCTGAGCCCTGTTCCATCCCAAAGTACTCCAACATCTGTCTACAAGATGTGGGAGGTACAGGTATTTTTAAGTAGGTTCCCTTCGCCATCAATGACACTGAGTCCATCAAAATAGAAGAGCAAAGTTTCTATGTAGCAGTGGCTGATGAAGTTAGTTTTCTTTCCGTATGCACTCCAAGTTTGTTTCAATATAAAAAGTTGCAGCTCTCTGTACCAAGGTGCTTGCTGACCCATGTTTCATCCGAAATGAAAGACCGCAGAACTACTGGAGTTAATTGTGTAACTATTCCTCACAATAACTTTGTGGGTTTAAAAGTAGTACCATGGCTACTGGAGCTGGGAAAGAGATTGGAAACGCCCAATCATTGCAGTGAGGATGGGCGTTTTACGATCAGAAGTGGGTATGGTTACTTACTTTAGCTCTCTTTATGTGTATCAGCCTTTTGTTTTTCTCTACACGTCTTGTTTTTGTTTACTTCTTCTGAAATCACTTTGTAAGTGCCATATTCATTGTTACTTGCCATAACTAACAAAATAGCCATTGGATATTGAATTACCGTAGGGCGCCTTTTTTTCGAGGGCTATAAATTTCGCGGATTTCGCGATTTTTTTAAAGATTCGCGAAAATTACTTTCGCGAAAATCAAATCAATACGGTACAAGATGGCAGACGGCATAAATCCACGAAAATTAAATTCCCGAAATAAAAATCCACGAAATTCATAGCCCTCGAAAAAAAGGCGCCCTACGGTATCTTTTCTATATTTTAAAAGCCTATGCATCATGAGTGTTTGTGTACCTCTGTTTCCTACCAGGTACTTCTACAAAACTAGTTATTATTATCATGTTTTGAGGAACATGTTTGTGTATGGTTTTATGGTTTTAGTTTAAGTGAATTATGCAGCACATTTCCTTTACAGCTATTTTGTAGTTTACACAGTAGGGTACCTTGTGTACCTCTAGTATACTAAGTATATTTTTTACTTTTAGTAGCACTTAATTTTTATTATCAGTACATATAGTTCTAAAGTTTTGTGTGCTTTTTTTCTTTCAATAGAACATAACATGGGTAGTATAATGAAATTGACAAGAAGGAAAAACTAGTAAAGAAAGAAGTTTAAGAATACCAAAACAAATATAATTTCTCATAATTGGGCAATGTGTTTTACATGTAACAGGTCCAACATCAACATTTACTCAGAAAAGCAAAGAACAAAGTTAGTAACTCTAATTGAATGTCTACATAATATTGCCAATATGATAGATCCTCAGATTGGCAGTTTTGATGAATCTTTTGTACATGTACATGAAAACACTTAGAACAATGTAAAATCATTATTTTACATGTAAACCATTCATTCATGATTTTGCAGTGATTGACACCGACTCTACATCGCCTCCTGATCATGATTATGACAACTGCAGTGATTGACAGTGATGCTACATCACCTACTCACTATGACACTATTGTCATGAAAGGGCCTACATTCACTCCTCCATGTATTTCACTAGGTATAGAAATTAGATTTAATTTAATCACTTAATAGTATACATCATAGTAAAAGATGCTAATACTCCCATTGAAGATGAGTATTTAACTTCTTTGGATTCACCATGCATTGCTAGTGTCATGGAAGAGCCATTCAGTAATAAATGTTATATTCTAAATTGATTAATTATTTGGTGTTCTATTGTACAGTTATAGTAGCTCTTCATTCCCTGTCTCAGTCGCAGATCATTTCTGAGTCTCCTTATAGTAGTCCAAATGCACTTCCCTTCTCTCCAGCTGGAGATACACAATCCCTTGAAGCTATGAAAAAAAGTTATTGATAGTGTCATATCTGACACGCCATGGATTGATGTCACTCAGGACCCTCATTCCTCACTTCGATACTGTCTGTTGGCAAATTTTTCACCATTCAGCAACCTCACTTTTTTGTGCTAATCCTGTCACTCTGATGTTCACACTTATCTTGTATTGTGACTGTACTAGGCAATGCTTTGTAGGGTCAAAACTGCATGATATTAGCAAGCTTCCTACTTTTTCCAGTGTTCAGGATATAATAGATGTCTCTATTTTCAAGCATGTAACAGATACACTTTTAAAGTATAACATTGGTCCTGGTAACCCAGATTAACAATTTGTATCTATGCTGGAAGGTATAAAAGGAGTGAAGTCATGTACTGGGAATGCCATTGTCTCATTTATTGATCACAGTTTAGGAGTTTATATTGAAGAACAAGTGTTCTCAAGTACTGTCCGCACAGTTACTTGTGAAATTATCATTCTGAAAGACCTAAAAAGGTGTAACAAATAATGTATTAAGTATTACGTAGCTGTGTTGCCAATTTCACCAAGGAAAAGGACAGTGCTAAAATGACAATGCCTTCCAGTCACTCCAATTTAAGATGTCTGACCACACCAAAGCGAATTCAGCGCGCATTGAAGAGAAGGAGACAACTTTCAATGAAGACGCGAAAAGTATCAGCATTGAAAAGAAGCTGTCAGACCTCATCCAGGAAAGAGGTGTTCGGGTTGATGAACTATTAGGATCTGACCTCTTAGGGTTTATGAAAGATATAGATGCTAGCCCAAATAACAATGAGCTATGGAAGGGTCTCTTGAGAAAAATACTTTGGACTCAACAGTTAAAGAATGCATCATTAAAAGATAAAAGGCTTGTAAGATGGCATTCATTAATCATCAGATGGTGCTTAAGTTTAAAGCTCCAATCATCTTCAGCCTACAGAGCTATGAGGGAAACTGGCTTCATCACATTACCGTCCGAGCACACACTTTGTGATTACACATGTTTTTAAGTCCAAATCGGGAATTCAACATGAAGTCAATGATCAATTAGCAAATGAAGCAAAGCTGGATCAATTGAAAGTGTGGCAAACTCATGTTTGTGTTGTTTTTGATGAAGTGAAAATCAAAGCCGGTTTAGTTTATGATTAACATCAAGGGAACATTATAGGATTTATGGATCTGGGTGATGTGAATTCAGCTATTGATCAAATTGATGAATGTCAAATTCACGATAACATTGCAACATCTGTGCTAGTTTTTATGGTACGAGGGCTTTTTATCAACTTAAAGTTTCTCTATGCTCAGTTTCCATGTCAATCACTATCAGCCGACATATTATATCCTATTGTGTGGAAAGTTATTCGTAATTTAGAGTTGACAGGATTCAGAGTGTTGGCTGTGACAGCTGATGGGGCTTCAAGTAATCATTCCTTTTTTAAAATGCATCATGACTCCAAAAGCAAAGATGATTTAGAGCACAAAGTTATAAACCGTTTTGCAGGTGACCATTGACATGTCTCTTCTTTTCTGATGTCCCCCACCTTCTGATGACAACACAAAACTGCCTAG